ACACAAACTTCAAAGAATTATGTCCCTGAGCCCCCTCTAGGTCTCTCTGTTCTACAGCACGACCCCAAGGCCCGACGTTTAATTGTCCAAGCCCTGCCCTGGTCGCTTTGATCAAAACGTGACCCCTCGTGTTTATCCAAACTGAGCTCCGTCCTCGACCTGATGGAACCGGGCTCCGTTCCCGAATCTCGGGGAGCCCTCTTCGCCCGCCTGCCAACGCCGCCGGCCCCCTTGGCGCCTCCAACCTCCCTTTTTCCCATCTCCCCACCAACCCCCACCCACTTCCGTCTCTCCAAGGCAGGGGAGGGAGCAGTTCGCGACATCTTCCTCCTCTGACGGTCCTGCTCCATTTCACCTCGTGGTGTCAGGTTGGGGGGTGACTTTCGAAGCTGGAGGGAGGGAGGGTGATAAGGAGGAAGGGGGGTGGTCGGGGAGTCTCCCCCACCCCCCACAAGACCTTTTGTTGTGCCTCAGACAATGGAGGGGAAGTGGGGGGGGAAGAGAGGGGCATAGTCCGCCAATGATGGAAATATTGACGCTTGGCTGTTCTCCCCTCCCCTCCACCTCCACTGACCAACACCTCCCCCTCCCCAGGCCAAGCGCAGGTCACACGTGGAATGCGATGACTCCAACAACGGCAAGTACGCTGCAGTAGGCGTCATCGCCTGCAAGGTTAACCATCCCATCTTTCGAAGTAACGCCACGGTGAGTCGGTGAGAGGGGAGGAGGGACCTGGTGGGGAAGGGGGCACAGCCTCAGGATGATGGGGAATGCCCGTTTCCAGGGGTGGGGTGGGGGGGGAGCCTCTGGGCGGGGGGGGGTAGGGGAGGGGGGGGGGAGTGACAAATCTTTTGGGATCTTCTGCCACCGGAAGTGCCCCCAACTTATTCCAGGATGAGAGGCAAACACTGTTGCGACTCCTGAGACAGGGGGAAGGGAGAGAGGCAAAGGGACCCGCTCCTCATGACGGAGCTTGGGGTAGATGCCCAAGGACACTTCGACCCTGGTGGGCGCCACGCGGAGTTACAGGGGGCTGGTAGCAGAGGGAAGGAGGGGAACGGTGAGGGGCTTTCACTGACTCTGTCTCCTTGACCATCGCTGGCCCCCCCCAGGTTCGATTCAACACAACCTTCGATGTGGCGTCGGATGTGGAGTGGAGATCAACGGAGCAGATCAGCATCAACGCCACCAGGTAGGACCAGCTGCCACCCTGCCCCCACCCCACCGTGCCGAATATTCCTGCCCCCAGCTCCTGTGCGGCCCTGGGATCGAGCAAAGCCCTAGGATGTGCGTGTTCAGGCCAAGGGAGTGATGTGGGCGGGTGGGCCTCGAAAAGGGATGGGACGGGGAAATGAAATACTTCACTGGATCCTCACGGATGGCGTCTTTGGGCAAAGCTCGCGGCCCGGCCGGATGGAGGGTCAGCGCTGAGGGAGCGGGCACTGTCGGAGGGTCAGCGCTGAGGAAGCGGGCACTGTCGGAGGGTCAGCGCTGAGG